CACCGCCTGGAGAAAAGGACTCTCGAGCCGATGCCTCCGGACCGAAGAGCCTCGGGCACGCGGAGTTGGCAGAGGACCGAAGCCGCTGCCACCGCCAGACGAGCCCGACTGGAGGACTGCCGGGTCGGGCTTCCCCTGCGCGCGCATCGGGGACTTCCCCTGCGCGCGCGCGGACGGCGAGGGCGTTCCCCAGGTTTTGTGTTTGAGATTTTCTCCGGTTGTCTTGGATTTTGAGTTTCCCACTCAAAATGTGTTGATATCTTTTTTGAGTTTGAGTTCCCCGCCGATGATGTTTTAAAGATTTCGGCAGGTTTTGCTATGGACCGCCTGTAGTCAATTGCCGAACCTAAGACTTCCCCCCGCGCGCGCGCGGACGGCGCGGGCGCTCACAGAGGGGGGGAGGCGCTCGTCCCACGCGCGCCGCGCCCTCCTTCGCCCCCGCGGGGAGGGCCCGGGTCCTGGCGGCGCCTGCGGCGGTGCCCCTCGGAAGCGACCTGCAAACGGCGGAGGCCAGTCCACGAGAAACCTTGGGAAGCCCAGCCCTTGAGACCCCAGGGCGTCCATCGACTTTTGGCGCGGGGGCGTCACGCTCTTGCCCTTCCCTTGCGAGGCCATCGGAGCCCAAGGAACGCGGGGCACCCTGGCGGCAAGCAGGGCCTTTTGGCGTGGGAGCGTCACGCTCTTGCCCTGGTCGGGAGCGGCCAAGAGGGGGGTGCCCAAGAGGGGGGGGTGCAAATATCATGCCCGGCGGCACGTGCGCGGCCCAGCGGGGGGGGCCAGGGACGTCATGAAGTAAGAGGAGGCGCCATGAAATCTGGGGAAATATCATGGCCCCCGCCATGATATCCACCCCCCCTAGTCATCACCCCCCTCTTTTCTGCCCCCGACCCTTGCGAGGCCATCGAAACCCAAGAAGAAACCCGGGGGCACCCTGGCGGCAAGCAGGGCGTTTCTTGACAGGGGCCTCCACTGCAGTGCGTTCGAGGAGGCGGGCGGAGCGGATAAGCGGGCGGGGGGGCGCCTGGGCGCAAGACCGGGGAAAGCTCGCAGAGGCTGCACGGAGCGGCTGGTCTGCACCCACCCGCCCCGGGGAGCGCGACACAGGGGCCCCGACAGGGCAAGGGCTGTCGGGCCCCCCCCCCGCCCTCCCTGAAGGGGCCCCAGGACACACGAATAAATACACACAAATGATAAGATTCCCCATAGTTTCCTGTATTTTCTTGTTTTTTTGTCTTCCCCCCCACTTCCCATATTTTCCCGTATTTTTCTGGGGGATCGAGGATTAATTGTGCCTGTGTGTTTCTTTTCCTCCTGACTCCCCTCCTGCCATCGGGGAGGAGGAGATGCAGTCGCCGGAGGAGGAAGGCGAGGAGGATGGAGACCAGGCGAGGCGGTCACCTGCGGGTGACGGTGGATGGAGTTCCACGTCGGCACTGTGGGGTACCTCACCACCAGCGCGCTCGCGCTGAACGCAGTTGAGTCTGCAGCTGTATCCTGCTTCTCCTGCTTGCTTGAACTTGGCTACTTTGGACCCCCTCGGATGGAGAAAGGATGAAGAACATATGGCTGGCTGGCTGGCTGCCTTGCACGGGAGCAGGTCTCAAGGTGTCAGCAAGAACAGAAGCGGCCTCAGGGCACGGCGCCCGAGAGCACTGTGCTCCCACCGTTGTCAGACATTCGAAGACAAATGACCTGCCCGACGATCAAGTCGGGAACACCTCGATCGCTGCACGGGGTAGAGAAGCCTGAACTCGCAAAGTATAGAGACCACGTACAGTCACAGCTTCGGAGAGAAGTCTCCTCTCACGGCAAGATGGGGCGCCAAGCAGACGAACACGGACGAGGAACGCGCAAAAGACGAAGGGAAGGGGGAAGAACCGGGAAAGAGAGAAAGGATGGAGGAGGAGGAGGAGGAGGAGGAGGAGGAGGCGGATGGAGGAAGAGGAGGTTGCCCAAGACAAGCGAGCAAAACGCTCGGCCGAGGGTGATTTTCTGGCGCCTAGGGAAGGGCAAGATCGTCGGTGTCGGCGTCGCTGGAGTCGGATGAGGAAGAGGGAGGAGGAGGGGGGGGGGAGGAGGAGGAGGAGGAGGAGGAGAGGAGGAGGAGGAGGAGGAGGAGGAGGAGGGGAGGAAAGGGAGGGGAAGATGAGGCCGGAGATGAGGAGAACGAGAACGAGGTGGAAGATATGAGGCGCGAACAAGGGGGGGGAGGAGGGAGGGAGGGAGGAGGAGGAGGAGGAGGAGGAGGCGGAAGAGGAGGAGGAGGAGGAGGAGAGAGGAGGAGGAGGAGGAGGAGGAGGGGGTGGAGGAGGAGGAGGAGGAGGGAGGAGGAGGAGGAGGAGGAGGAGGAGGAGGAGGAGGAGGAGGAGGAATATGGGGGCGGGAGGCGGCCGGAACGTTCCCCTCCCCGGGGCGTGTGAGCTTCGGGGGTCGCGCGCCACGGGGGCTCCCGAGCGCCCGGGCGCCGAGGCGACGCGCGAGCGGGGAGCCGAGCGCGAGGGCTCTCCCCCGCGCGGGGAGAGAGAGGGGCCGCGGCGAGGCGCGGAGGCCGCGGGCGCCTCTCTCCGCGGCGGAGGGGGCGGCGGCCGCGCGGAGCAGCCGAGCGCCATAGGTCAGTCGGGCCCGTCCCCCTACAAGGGAACTTGCACGAAGAATTAAACACACCCAAAAGAAATGCTCAAACATAGCCAAAAAATCCTCAAACATACATCGGCGTTCCGAAAGTTTATTCCCCATATCCTAAGATGGGGTTCTTGTTATTACTTGGACGCCTCCTACTCCTTCTTCTCCCTCCTCCTCTTTTCTCCTCCCCTCCTGTCGGACTTACTCATACTCACACTTGCTCATACTCAGACTTACTCATACACTGACTTACTCATACTCAGATTTACTCCTACTCAGACCTACTCATACTCAGATTTACTCATACTCAGACATACTCATACACAGACTTACTCATGCACAGACTTACTCATACCCAGACGTACTCATACACAGACTTACTCATACCCAGACTTACTCATACACAGTATTACTCATACTCAGACTTACTCATACCCAGACGTACACATACACAGACTTTCTCATACACAGACCTACTCATACCCAGACTTACTCATACACAAACTTACTCATACACAGACTTACTCATACTCAGGCATACTCATACTCAGACCTACTCATATTCAGACTTACTCAACACACATCAGATTTGGAGGATGTCTCAAGCGGGGCGCTGGTTTCAGCACCCCTAAGGGGGGCCGCCAGGGGTGGTTGCACGGGCACGTTCGCGGCCATATTGTGGGGATGTCTCAGGCGGTTGGCTTGTTTCTGGGTTCAACATCCTTCGCTTGGAGAGCAGATTGTGAGGATGTCTCAGGCGGGGCGCTGGTTTCAGCACCCCTAAGGGGAGCCGCCAGGGGTGGTTGCACGGGCTCGTTCGCGGCCATTTTGTGGGGATGTCTCAGGCGGTTTGCTTGTTTCTGGGCTCAACATCCTTCGCTTGGAGAGCAGATTGTGAGGATGTCTCAGGCGGGGCGCTGGTTTCAGCACCCCTAAGGGGAGCCGCCAGGGGTGGTTGCACGGGCTCGTTCGCGGCCATTTTGTGGGGATGTCTCAGGCGGTTTGCTTGTTTCTGGGCCCAACATCCTTCGCTTGGAGAGCAGATTGTGAGGATGTCTCAGGCGGGGCGCTGGTTTCAGCACCCCTAAGGGGAGCCGCCAGGGGTGGTTGCACGGGCTCGTTCGCGGCCATTTTGTGGGGATGTCTCAGGCGGTTTGCTTGTTTCTGGGCTCAACATCCTTCGCTTGGAGAGCAGATTGTGAGGATGTCTCAGGCGGGGCGCTGGTTTCAGCACCCCTAAGGGGAGCCGCCAGGGGTGTTTGCACGGGCTCGTTCGCGGCCATTTTGTGGGGATGTCTCAGGCGGTTTGCTTGTTTCTGGGCCCAACATCCTTCGCTTTGGAGAGCAGATTGTGAGGATGTCTCAGGCGGGGCGCTGGTTTCAGCACCCCTAAGGGGAGCCGCCAGGGGTGGTTGCACGGGCTCGTTCGCGGCCATTTTGTGGGGATGTCTCAGGCGGTTTGCTTGTTTCTGGGCCCAACATCCTTCGCTTGGAGAGCAGATTGTGAGGATGTCTCAGGCGGGGCGCTGGTTTCAGCACCCCTAAGGGGAGCCGCCAGGGGTGGTTGCACGGGCTCGTTCGCGGCCATTTTGTGGGG